TGTGTGTGTGTGTGTGTATATATATATATGTGCCTGTGAAAATTCTCCTCCTCTTCAGCTGTAGATATAGGCACTTATGGACACCTAGTTATAGTTCATCATATTAAAAAAAATGGAAAAAAAGCAGTGCCATAATAAAGATCATAGAAAAGCCAGTCCAACAAAGTTTGGTGTGCTTGTCTGTTGTTTATTTCTTGGAAGAAAATGCACTGATTCATGCCTTGAAAGTGGTGGTGGTGGGGAAATCTGTTACTGCTTCTTTCCCTTCTTCCCTAAGATGAGCTCCAAGGCGAGTGCCCCTTCATTTCTGTTGCTGTAGTTTGCAGCCAGAGCTTCAGTCTGCATTATCAGCCTTTCTGGCAATGCGAGGTGGCAATCAGTCATTCCAATGTGATGTGGGCAGATAACTGAGACATAAGTGGAAACTGCTGATGGAGCTGACTAATGCTTCAGAGGCAGGAGTAAATTGTTAGCAGAACGGAGTTGGGAGCATGGATCTCTCACAGGGATAGCATGGAGTGTCAGAGCTAGCGTACACACTCTGTGTTGGGGGGTGTCAGGCAAGCTGCAGATAAATAACACACTGTAAAACTTCAGTGTGTCTGAGTGAAGTCTCCTACTTTTAAGAGGGCACTACCCTGTGATCACTGGGCTTTGTTGCCATGCAACATGTGAAGAGAGGCTGAAACTTTGTGTGCCTGGCACAGATTAGTTTAACAGTGAATTAAATGCTTGTCTGAGGCTCTATATAAGAGGTTTAGAGATTCCTGCCATGAGGAAAGAAACAAATGCAAGACAGCTTGCTCAGATTATTTTTATAATTAGCTTTGTTATGCAGTTATGACAGAATCTAGGAGTTGTATGAATCAACAGTAGAAAAGGCAAGGAGTCAGGAGGTCTGTTAATCTTCTATCATCTGCCAGCTGTCCAGTGAAAACACTCTTTTGTGTGGTGTTAGGAGGTCTGGATTAGTCATTTAACACCTGCAGGCAAAAATGTTGTACAAGAACATGTGAAAATCATTAGAGCAAAACTGTCCTGACGTCTGTGATTGGAAAATGCAGACAGCATAAGAATGGAATTAGATGGATTCAGCTGTAGCTTGCACATCTTTTTAAGAATGTAGCTGACACAACTCAGACCAGCAATTAAGCTAGTAGCAGATACTTAAGGGGCATATGCATGCTCTGAGTTTGGATCCAAATTACATGGGAAGACCACGTTTGAGAGGATTAAGCATTCATGGTACTGACCAAATTAGACTAGAATAGAATAATAGCTCAGTCATTAATAGATTTATATACTAAGTAGGCATGCTTGTGATTAAGAAATATTGTCTCAAGTTCTTTGGCAATTTAAAAGTGGATTTTGATGGTACACTGCCAGTCTAGAAGATGAAATAAATCATAAATCAATGAAGTAAAAAAAAAAAAAAAAAAAAAAAAGGTATATGTAGTTTTTAGCATATACAGTTATCTGCTTAATACTTAAATAAGGGAAGTGTTCGGTCACCTTCGGCAAACAGATATGACAAAGGTATTCTAGCAGGGGTGAACTTCTAGCAAAAGCCTTCAATTTATTGCTTAAAATTTAATTTTTTAAAGGTGTTAACTCTGGTGTTTTAAACAGAAACAAACTTTGTTATAATTCAAAGCATAAAAACTAGAGGTTAAAATCAAAGTTTCATCTTGTGACTTGCTTTTGTTTTATTTCGTTTTATTTTAAAACTCTTAATTGATAATAGAAATGTACATCTTGTCTTTTTAGTTAGAGCAATTGCTTATGGATACTAATAAAGATGAAGATTAAGTTAGACTAGCAGATGCTTATTGAATTATGTGTAAAAAGTAACATCATCAAAAGCTCTTTCACTAGTATTTCTTTTAATGTAAAATGCTCAAGATAAGTTAATTGGATAAGACTAGCCATAACCAACTTACAAAACACACTGTCAATAATTAGAACAGATAATCGTCAGTGGTCTTAACACAGATGTGCTGGATGGTGTAATTAAACACTTGGCATTCCTTTTTATGTCTTAAAAAAAGAAAATCTGACTTCCATTTTAGGGTCAAATTATCTCTTTCTGATAACTGGTCTCTTGCAGAAAAATAAACATGTCTGAGCTCAATTGATCCTTTAACCTTAGGATTTCTGGAGATATAATCCTTGCTGTCTGAATTCACAAACAAGCTGTAGATTTCCTTTTTGGCTTTTTTTGAAAAACTCAGAAGTTCAAAACCTGTACAGTGATTGTACTTCTAAATTCTTGACAATAAACTGAGATGGAGGTTTTGAAGGTTTATCACTAATATAGTATGTTTGTGGTGTGGGGGTTTTCATTTTGTTTTCTTTTTTACTTTGTAGACTACTAAAGCATTCCTTCCCAAGATGCTGGAAATGAACCACGGACACATTGTGACAGTTGCAAGTTCTTTGGGATTGTTCAGCACTGCTGGAGTGGAGGTTTGTTAGACTATAATTAATGTTAAATTTGTCATTTCTTGCTTAGGATAAGCTTTTTTGTATTATTAGCTAGGGAAAATAAAGTCAAATCTTCAAAGATACTTGGAAACCATGGTGTGAGTTCCCATATCAGCACATGGCTCTGTGTGTGTGGGATCGACAGGGCTGGGGCAGCCACTGTGTTCAACTACTTTGCAGGTGGGCTTGCTACTTAAAATTGAAAGCCTAGGAGGGCAAAGGATTTCAGAATGCTAAATGGTCTTTGAATTATCTGATAAAATTAAGAAACTGACAGGTGCCCACTTATCTAGTCCTGTCAAGATCTTCAGTGCTAAGCTGGAAGCCTAAGGCAAGGTATTTCAAAAGTAATGTTTTTTGTTTCCTGGCTCTGCGAGGACATGGCCACCAGCCTTCCTTCCAGAATACATAGCTCACCTGCTTTACCAGGCTCCCGGTTATACGCATGAGGTTGTCTAGTTGCTAGCAGCTGTTTGAGAACACCAGTTTGTGAGACTTGTTTGATGCATAAAGTTAGGTTAGGGTTAGAGTCTGTTATTTTGCTTTTGGGGTCATTAGCACAAATGCAAGTGTGAACAGAAAGCATTCAGTTAATGAAAATTAATGTGCCTAGTGGAATAATGGTCATATTATCCCATAGACAAAGGCTAATTTACATACAGGTAAGTTTTAATCCAGGATCTTAGACTGCAGTGTCTTGTAACAGAAATGAACAAAGCTGGTATAACTTTGGGCTTCTTAGAGTATTTACTGTCTTGAGAAAACTAAAAAGAATTTCCTAGACTTGTGGGTGTGATCAGCAGAGGTGGATACATCCAACAGAAAACTCGAATGCTACTGCTGTCTATGTAATTATTTTTTGATGTTGCTGACCTTAGTATTTTTGAGATACACAAGCTATGTCCTTTTCTGAAAATTAAATACACTCAGATCTCCATTGTATCTTCTGTTGAAACTAAGCTTAGAAGTGTTTAAGATTTTTTTTTACATCTATGCCCTGCCAATTCTCCAATCTTTTTTAAATCTCACCCAAGATAGTATTAGGTATCTCAGTCCTTTGCTTAATATTAAATGTTACAACAAATTGGTAATTGGAGTAACTTGCCATGGGGGCCTGCCCGGTCAGACCTGAATCCAAGGTAATACCCTCCTACATTCAGGTTTCCTGCTTTCATGATTCTGTGCTAATTGCCTCAAAAGTGAAGTGATAATGAGTTAATGTGGTGCTCTATTCAGTGGGTGTCTTTTGTTGTTGCTTTGAAAATCTGTGCAGATTTGCTTTGGCTTTGAACATGATTCATATCTGTCCTTTTTAAGTTGCCTTTTTTTCCTTCATTCATTGGCAACACAGGATTATTGCGCCAGCAAATTTGGAGCTGTAGGTTTCCATGAATCTTTGAGCCATGAATTGAAGGCTGCTGAAAAAGATGGAATCAAAACAACTTTAGTCTGCCCTTATCTTGTAGATACAGGAATGTTTAGAGGGTGCAGGATCAGGTGAGTAAAATTTTCCTCCTGTTTGTAGTATAAAAGTACTTGAAGGTAACTAACCTGTTACCATAAAATACTTTTAAGTATTATATCTGCTTTAATATACATTAGTATTAGACTTAAAAAGTAGACTTTCTGAATTGAGTGAGTGTTTTTGGTCCTTTTGTAGTTAAGCTACGCAAGTTATGAGCTATAGTCTGTGTATCCTAACAGTTAATATTAGAAAATGAAAGTCTTTGTCTCTGCTGAGATGTTCCAGAGAAAGTGAGTTAATGAGTGAGGTCTGTGGTCCTTTATCTTATTTATCTGTCTTAAATATTTTAGAAAAGAAATTGAGCCTTTCCTTCCACCCTTGAAACCAGAATACTGTGTGAAGCAGGCTATGAGAGCTATCCTTACAGACCAGCCAATGATTTGCACACCTCGTCTCATGTATATGGTCACCTTCATGAAAAGGTAAGAGCTGAACTGCTCATTAGTTGGCAATACTCTTTGCAGAATGCTGGTAAAATCCATGAGCATGTCTGCTTTCTGGATATAAACACCCTCCCACTCACACAGGCTGTTGGTGCTGTTTTGTTAGAATTCATAAATATTTCTTGGCTTGCACGAGTGTAGGTTGCTTGCTTGGGAAGCTCCGTAAAACAGATCCCATGTATTATGCATCCTTGCTTTACCTTTCTTGTATCTTTTTCCTTAGATTCCTACTTTCTTTTCAGCAGACTTATTTCTATTGTTTGGGTTTCCCCTTAGGAATGGGGCGTGAGGCAGCTTCCAGCAAAGGAACCTCTAGCTATTTGTCTCTAGAACAAGTGTGTAGGAGGCCCTGCCTACAGATTCTCTAGGACTTGTACAGATACGGTAGATAAACTGCAAATCTGCACATTCAGAACCATTTTTCAGAGTCTAAGTTTGGAAAAAGGGTTATTTAAAGGAATATTACCTCCTTTGTTCTGACACGCCACAGTTTTTGGATGGGAACACTGTTTAAGCTGTAACTAGGCTGACATTTCAATGATGCAGAGTAATACAGGAGTTGGCTCAGTTCCACTGATGCAACATCGTTTGCATTCTATTATAGAGGACATCCTCACAGCTGTCTGTGGTTTTGTTTTAAATGTGCAGTGTGTAGGAAGAACCTTTAAAATACAGGATTGTCATATTTTCCTTCTGTGAGGGATGGCTGAAACAGAGAACCTTGGTGATTTCTCTTCCATTTGCACTTTTATTCTTTGCCTCAAGTCTCTTATGGTGGACAGGCTCACCAAAGACTAGAGGAGCTGTCATCACTCACCTCTTTCCTGGAAGAGTACGTGTATGTGTCTTCTGCCAAAAAATCAAGGCCACTCTCAGCATCTTTAAGAACCAGCTTCTTCAACCAGAAGCTCAGAGGGTCCTTCAGTGCACTCTGCACAAACAGTGCCTTATGCAGCAACAGTCACATCAAAGGCCCTTCATGTTGTCTTGGTTCAACACTTTAGCTTCCAACAGGGAGATCAAAGCTTCTACATAATCCATGCCTCAGGGAGCAGCACTTAGATCAAAGGCCCTCCAGTCACTAGTGCACAAGCAGTACTACTAGCAGTGAGGACACCTGTACTGTGACATACTCCTCAGTGGGCTTTCACAGTGCTTCAGTGGGCATTACTCCTAATGGCTAGATTCTGTGCACTTGCTTTCCACTGAGTGGATGTTTGCGACTCTGTCCTGGGGCTGAGGAAATCCCATTCTAGTTCTGCACTAGAGCTCCTGAGTACTACGCTTGAAGTAGAAGTATTTTGTGGATGTGGGAAGGAGGGGAGGGTCTGTAGTCAGGTACCCATCACAAAGACAGTTCCCTGGAATTTTATCTGGAGGGGGAGAAAGGAAATTGCTCTCTTTACTTTGGACCTCTCTTTCTGAGGATGGATGATTAAGTTTAGAATGTAAGTCAAGGCAGTTAGACATTTGGTGATCAAAGTATGGCATTAACTCTAATCCCACATTAAAGAACATCTTCAATATCTGATGACCTCTGCTGATGTGGCTTATAGCAGATGCTTTGCTTTCAGTAGGCCTTCTGTAATGCCCTTGTCCCCCCACCTCTTTAAAGCAAGCTATCATACTGCTTGCGAAGCAGCAGAAAATCTGTCCTAAGCTGGAGGCATGTGACTAAGCAGCTTCCTCCTTCCTGCTTGCCTGCATGCTTAGCACTCTAGAATTTAAACTCTCTCTGTAAGTATCCTTGTGAAATAGAAATCCTTTAAGTCTTTTAAAAAGCCTCTCAAATAGCTGCTATATTGCTTCTAAGGAGACCAAGTACATAGTGTAAGCAGAGGTTTTGTTTTACTGTCTCCTAACAATTTTATAACCTGTTTTTCACAGTATCCTGCCCTTTGAAGCAGTGGTATGCATGTACCGGTTTTTGGGAGCAGACAAGTGTATGTACCCTTTCATTGCTCAAAGGAAACAGGCTACAAACAACAATGAAGCAAAAAATGGAATGTAACACTATTTTGGATGGACTAACATTTATAGGTGAATACAATAATGTTACATGACTGAATTGCAAAGTGCACTTGCATCTAACAGATGCAAATGTCAACATCTTGCTGTGGCATTCTCTTGGGTCCTAAACCTGTGTATTGAACTCTAAAAATCAATGGGTTTTTTTATATACTGTAAATAAAACTGACTAGAGTACTTGATAGGTAAACAAAATGATTTTACAATGTAGCTGCCACCACTGTCCTTTAGAATATCACTGTATGTACAGTAAACTAGTCATAATACCTGTTGTAGGGATGCACTGTGTGATATCTCTTCCTCAGCCTGCCAAGGCTTATAAGAACTGTCTCCAACTAAAAGATGCAATGTTTCAGAAATAGTTTGTCTTTCCCAGAGGGAAATCTTGCCATTTAAGCTATTGCTTATGACCTTTTAGTAAATTCAAGGGCAGTTTCTGAATGCATCTCTTCACTTGTTCACCCAGGCTCTGAAGGACACATGGCCCAATTGTGGTGTAATTCTCTTTTGTATTAACTGTGTCTTCTATTTAAAGATAAAAAGAAATTTGTAAATCTCTGCTGATTCAAAGGCAAGTGAATGTCTTAAATACTCTCAGAGCAAACTTGTACTGGGCATCTGGTTTTCTAGGAATGCAGTCAATGATTTAAACTGACTTTTTTCAAGTCACTTGATTTGAAATATGCTCTGTTCTGTTTCCCTTTACATGTCAGAGTCCAATCTACTGTTATGGGTTATATGTTTCTCTTCTTCCTCCTCATTCTTTCTTTTGGCAGAGTTCTCTCACCCCCCTGAGGAAGCTGTTCTATTCAATTTCTGTAACTGGACTTGTGCCTAAAAGACAAAGCAACTCAGCCGAGATACAAACTGTTTATGTAAGTGCTGGTCATATGCCAATTATTAGCAAAGGAAAAATAGAATAACGCCTGATGCAACTCTACATGCAGAATATGGAAAGGTGTAAAGATTTTTTTTGAGTTGTACTCACATTGTAGAACAGCAAATGACATTTTTACAGTATTTTTTGTAAAGCAAACAATTTTGTGCCTTGAATTTGGTAATCTGTATTAGTGAAGCATTGTAAAAGTGAACTTCTACCTCTGTATCTTAATGTATACCATCCACTTGTAAACTACTATTGGAGAAATTGTGATTACTTTTTTAGAATGTCTTGTTAAATAGTGACCAATGCCTGTGGTTATTAAAGTGAGCCACCTTTTCCTTAAAACAGTGACTGGAATGCTTCCTTTAAAGACTAAACTAGTGCAAACTACTTGTGCCTGTTCCATAGCTCTTGAGTATCAACACAGTTCAGAAATATATTGCTCTACCTATATCCATCTTTGTCAGCTACATGGTTTTACGGTGTAATCTCTTAGGTTTATCAGTAGGTACTGTGAAATTGGGCTTTATGAGGTGGCCGCTTTCTCTAGTTTCTAAACTCATCAATGAAGTAACTCGTCAAAGAAAATGAATATCTTGAAGAATATTCATTTTGATTTTCTATGGAGCTTTATATCTACATAAAAATGACCTCATGTGGATGCAGTTTTAGTAAATTAAAAAATGTAGTTTCAGTACAATTGTAGTTATTACTGCACATATATACAGCATACATATAAAATAAACCAATATCTGTGTGGAGAATAGTGTTGTTAACTAAGCCTGTTTAGAAATTAATCTAAAGTATAAAAAACTGTTTGCTTTCACGCTTACTCCAAATTCCTTGCTCTTTTGAAAAAGCTTTTTAATGACTTCCCCAGGGCCAAATCAACTCCCAGGTTCTTAAAGCAAAGTCACTAAGAGCAAGTACAGTGACTTTCATTCTATTACCCAGCATCATTTTAATGCACATTTGTTTTTCTAAGATGTCTCAATCTGTATTGCTGTGTTGAATTAAGAAGCAACTTTTGAACTTTGATATATTGATACTCAAGACACTTACTAGCCTCACAAAAAGGAAAAATAAGCAACCGACCAGTAATACCAAGCTTCTGTAAAGCATCATGCGAATTACAATGGTTACAGACTTAAAGCAAGTTTTGGGGCCTGTGGAGTTCTACTTTAATTACCAAGTACATTATCATCCTTGTTTCTCTGAATTGACTACTATTCTAGAAATACAATAGTTCATCTCAGTTCTTGAACTGTGTGGCTGAGGGGTGGCTCATGACTGGTGCACTCTGTGAGCGTATTTCTAACTCTTGTTCAGACCATTAACTTTATCTCCTATTCAGAAGTCAATTAGATACAGATAGAGAAAAGGGATACTGGATATCTTGTAGATCTGGTGAGAATTGCAGAAGTGCTTGTGGGGAGGATCTTTGAGGCTAATCTTATATTTTAGTTTGTGAAGTAATATCAAAGTTACTGCACACAACATCCCTGGAGACAGCCATGGCTCCAAACTTAACAAAATGAACAATGCTTGTCTTGCAGAATGGGAAATTGAGCTTAAATTCAGTTCAAGCCTCCAGAGAAACAAATTCAAAGTGTTAGTTTTTCCTGATACAGATGAGGTGTTTTAGAAACAATCCTGAAACTTCTGCCACCTCTAGTCACACCTTAAAAAAAAAAAAAAAAAAAAAACAGCACATAAAGAAGCTGGTCACCTGCACGAGAGGATTTTCTGTAGACTTGATGGCTTCCCAGTTGCATGGGTGACTCCTACAAAGCAGTAAGAGAAGACTTGTGGCTGAGAATGGAGTGGGAAGTGGGGTTTCCCCTGTTTAGATTACCCTAAACTGCTGCAAATACTGTGTGATGCTGAGAGTTTCTTTTAACACTGACTAGAAACTATGAGAATTACTGTGTCTCTTCAGGGTTATGGCTAACTGATAGACTGCATTATTTTAGCACAAAATCAGTATAGTTTAAGTAGCTCAGGTAAAAGTTTAAAATTAATACTTCGAGTAACTTGGTGTAGGAATGTTTTAATTCATTCTGTAGTTTACTGTTAAAGCTGATGAGCCAATATGGTCGCACCTCTTGGTGTCTTCCCGTCTTTGTCTTGCTGTAACAACCAGGTGTGATAGGCATCTGATGAAAGCTTCCTCAGAAAGCTCCTGGCTTAATGGTACTAAGTTTACAGTCATGTAAGCAAGGTGCTTGAAAGTCATTCTGTAGTGCTGTACTTCCCAATAAGCAGGACAAATTGCACCCTTGATGCATCTACAGTGGTGCTCTAGGGTTAGCAGTCAGTGGAGAGAAATAGGCACTGATATATGGACTTGGATGTTTTTTGGTAAGTTTAGTTGTGTTCCTATCTGATGGTTAGATACTTTCACAACACAGGAGCTGGCTGCTTTCTTGCTACAGGAGAGCAATTCAGGAGTATCTTTGCTTCAGGTATCTCTGATTTTGGTGTTGGTAGTTTCCTGCACCTTATACTTGTTTATTTTATGTATTAATGTAGTTGCAGCTTGGAGCACCTAAGCCAGATGCCCAATATAGTATAAATTGTTCTTTCCCACACACCCCTTTAGGTGTGTTTGGGTGGTGTATGCGGAGATGTTAATGCACAATAAGCGTGTGCTTCAGCTTACATCATAGTGACGTGCAGAAGACTTCTGAGGTAAGCTAATCAGGAACAATACCCTTTTGCCTCATAATAAATAAATAATTTAGGAGCAAGCATTATTCTTTACGTTCAAACACCATCATAGTCTGTTGTAACTTTGGTACATAGACAAACTCTGCTGAGCCTTATCTTCACGAGCAACTTCGGAAAATTTAGAGGAATCAAAGCTGTGTAGTGAATGCAGATAAATTAAAGGATTAAGTTACAGACCACTATGGCTCTAAAAGTGGGCATCTGCTTAAGAGTTTAATGCATATAAAAGCATTAATTTAACCTCTGAATGTGATACCTAATTTTTCTCTGTGTCTCTGAGAACAGAGACACACAGATACCAGTAAGTATTTAGCCTCAGGGTCTGTTTTTGTCCATTAATGCTTTAAACCCAAGTTTTCCAAGTGCAGAAGCTTTGGGGCTCTGCTCGAGTTTCCACTGCTGCCAAGTTCATACCCCACAAACAGGAAATAAAACTGTCTATCACAGAGATGAGGTCTTCTAACAGCTCAACTCCCAAAACTGCAGGTTGGGCAGAACTGGTCCGTGAGGGACCTGATTTAAGGTGTACTTTGTCATGAAGCTCCTAGCCCTAAATTCCAGGTGGTTAGTCATATAGGTGCTCTACTCCTCTGCAAAAAAAGCTGGGAAGTCCAGGGGCAGTCCCCAGCAAAGTTTGAAGTGTAGTTACACAAAACCCCAAAACCTGGTATTCTTACTTGCCTGTCATGTTTCAGCCTGGCCATTAAATGCTGTTGTATGTAATGACAGAAAGTATGGCTCTATCATGCCAGCAAAGAAATGAAGAAATTCATGCTAGCTTTATTTAAACATAGTTTAAGTGGACATCCCAAATATTTAAAATAACTTTAGAAATAACATTCCAGCTTACATACTTCTCTATCTGCTTAATGCTGACAATACACAAACAATTCATCCACAAAAAAAGCACTTTTGAGCTAAATGATGAATGTGCAGAAGTCAGGATTGAGTTGTTTGTGTGCATCTGTGCAGAAGTTAAAATTCGCAGGGTTGGCTTCCCTCTTCCTAAGCAGTGCAATGGTAGCTCTTAGCTGAGAACTGCAGTGTATTATGGAAAAATGAAACCTTTGAGCACATCCCTGTCAATACAGTCTTGACCAAACTGCCTTCAAATGTTATCCTGTTCTGACTAAAAGCATTTTGGCAAACAGTGTGCCTGGGCTTATGACCATGGATAACTGCAGCCTTTCTTTCCTAATCAAATTATTAATAGAAGCTGTTGTGGCAGCAAGATGTAGGGAATAGGTAGAGCTGAACCATTAGGAAAGCTGTATCTGGGAAGGGGTTTTTAGCAGGAGAGGAAGAATGGGGTGCTATGATGGTTCTAGGGATCTTCTGTCCATACCCCACGCTAGCAGCTTCTGTGCAGCACAGCTGGATGTCATGTGCTGACATCCAGCCCTCCCTTCTCATCACAGCTGCAGGCAGCCATAGTCCTGAGCTCATCTATGAGTGCTCATCTACACACGTCTGCTCAGAAATTGTTCTGGAATAACCATGCCTAAGTATGTGCCTATATAACTTAAACAAAAGCAGTGCTCTGGAGTAAGAAGTTCTGTGCTCTGAGGCTTACTGGGGACTAACCAGTGTGTTCTGAATGCTTGTTGTACTCTCATCTGCATCAGCTGTCACATCTAAATGAGCCCTTAGAAGATAATTACAAACTTTCACTGGGACATATCTGCTTAAGCTATAAATAAGCAAAGTTAGCTTAAACTTGTCTTCTCAACAGGTAAGAACAGTTTGATCCACTGTTCAGAACAAACCTTACTTGATACAAGTTAAGTCTTTGCATACATCAGTAATGAATGGGCAGGAGGAAGCGTGCCAGGGTGATTAGGATGTTACGTTTTCCTGCCACACTCAGAGCCAGGCATATTGACCTTTCCAGCTGTTTTCAAAAGGAGTTCCTGGCTAGTTAGATCTCTGGCATGTAAGTTAAGGAGTTCCATGTCAACAGGAGGATTGGAGGAGAGGTTGGAATTAAGGTCTCCTAAATATCCCCAAATCAAGCTAGTGTCAGTGCTCTTTGTTTTATGGGTGTTTTATGGGAGGCTTCATCACCAGTTCTTGTCTTGATACTCCTACTAGTTCAACCTCACTTCTGATAGCAACAGTGGGAGCCCTAATGCAGAGATGGCTTCGAGGGACCAGTGTTTCCTCAGGGCCTCTGCTTTCCCAGGACTTGCTTGTGAACTGAAATGCTTGAAATGCTGAGGACTGCCAGCTTCTTGGCCAGCAAGTGCTCACAGTGGTGGGAAATAAGCATGAGGCAGATGAGACCAAGGCTTCCAGCAGAGGGATCACAAACTGGAACAGTCCAGCAAAAACACTGATACATGGATTTTCTCATCTCTCACTCATATCCACAATCCAAACAACCTGATAAGAAATGCCAGCTTTTCTCTGCTTGCAGTGACTCAGAATAAAAATAATTTAAACAAGAGCTCTCTGTATTTTATTTCTGAACTTACAGAAGTGACCACTTCTCTAGTTAGTTAACTAAGAATTTCTACATTTAAAAATCACATGTGACTCCTACAGTACATCCTCTGTTGCCATGTGCAAAATAAGGCACTTTGTTAGTCTCAAAGCTAAACTGTAATGAACTACCA